GGCCTCAGCCGGAGGCATGTCTGTCTTGGAGCCGGCTGGCATTGGCTCTATCAGACATGGGGGAAGCTTCCAGCAGCTTCCCACAGAAGCCCCCCCTGTAGCCCCCTGCTACCAAACCCTTGCCATGCAAACCTGTCCTGGTTTCGACTGGGATAGAGTTAATTTTCTTTCTAGTAGCTGGCATAGCACTGTGTTTTGATTTAGTACTAGAAGAATGTTGATAACTCACTGATGGTTTAGTTGTTGCTAAGTAGGGCTTAGACTAGCCAAGGACTTCTCAGCTTCCCCTGCTCTGCCAGGTGCACGAGAAGCTGGGAGGGGGCCCAGCCAGGACAGGTGACCCCAAATGGCTAAAGGGTTATTCCAGACCATATGGCATCGTGCTCAATTTATAAACTGTGGGGGAGTTGGCTGCAGGGCATCAATCACTCTTCAGGGACAGGCTGGGCATTGGTCAGTGGGTGGTGAGCAATTGCATTGTGCTTCACTTGTTTTGTATATTCTGTATATTCTATTATTATTATTATTATTATTATTGTTATCATCACCATCATAATCATCATTATGATTATTTTCCTCTGCTGCTTTATTAAACTGTCTTTATCTCAACCCATGGGTTTTAATTTTTTAATTTTTTTAGCTTGCTCATTATTTACGCTTAATGTGGAAGTTGTGAAAAGGATGTTCAACATCCTTTTGAATTAGGTATTAATATATGCTGTTATATCTAGGAAACAGCCAGTATGAGAATATCTGTCTTCTGATATAGACAGCAAGGCAATCCTGTAAGTAAAGAGGAATGCTTGAACTTCCACCTCATCATCATTTGAATTTACAGCAGGATGTTGTACAGCATTATTCATAATAAGTAGCTGGCAGTCTTCACTGGAGCTAATCCTGTCCTTCTCAGGACTTTTGCTGTGGGCCGGAATATACACATCGCTCTGATTCAGCTGCTCTGATCAGAAGGTCTCAAAAGAACAGGCCTCCTTTCAGGAGAGCATCAAGCAAAGGAGTTCTCCCTCTTGTGGAGTCAAATGTAACTCCACGGGCAATTTTAAATTCTGCTTCCGTGCCCACGCACATGCTGAGCCAGACAGGGCCCAACTCCTGAAATAGCAAGAGAAAAGTGAATTTGCAGCTTTCCTTGTGGGATGGCGTGGTGTGGGCAAGAGCGATGGCTGATCAGAAGAAAGGTGTTATCATCATCATGAGCACATTTTGATCCCAGCACACCCCATGGCATTGCAACCAGGTTCTGAAATGCTTCTTTTGTGCCCTTGTCGAAGCACATCTCAATAGGTCAGGCGTCTTGTTCAGCAGCTTCTCTTGAACGGATGGTCTTTATCATCACATTTGCCTTTTTTTCTGTTTCTAAATTACTCTTTGCACTTCCTCTCTAAAGAGGAAGGATTTAGAACAGTTGTAAATCTGAGCATGCTCCTTTCTTATTTTCTGGTTTCTGCATGTAGATAGAATGTTCCTAAACATCCCAAAGCATTTTTTTTTCCAATTTAAACTCTTTGCCCTCCCTCCAGCAAGTGTGCCTCACAGTTGGTTTTGAGCCTGTGAAATGAACATTTCTAAGCACTAAATAAATACATTGCTGCATTAATCTTTGTTCTGTTTGTATACTGAGGGGTATTCAGTTCCATCACTTGACACACAGCACATTTTGGGTGCTCAGCTTGTTAAGCACCTACTAATTCCTACTGTGGTTTTGACTGATTGCATGAACCAATTAATTCTCATTTATTCTTCCTGTTAGAAGAGCATCAACTCACAGTCATTTGTTTTTATGTTGACCTCTCCCTTTTCCAAACCACGGTCATGTAAACCAAATTCCAGTCCCTTCCTTTGAGTGATCTTTCCAGGTAGCTAAGAACCAGACATTTCAGTAGCCCACTTGTCTTTCATGTTTTTCAGTGACATCCATTACATTAAATGTGTGTTCCTCAATAAGCACTTCTAATTTCTTGTGGTCATATCCCAGGGTCCTGATGTACAGGACAAAGAAGTTATTCTCCTGTTATTGTGAGGCATCTTGTTTAGGTTTGCATTTTATTTTCCTCATTTACTTTTTTTTTTAATTTTTGAGTTTTTGAGACACTTGAAAAATTATAGTGCTTCAGCTAGCTGCTTGGCTGCCACTCCTCATAAGTCAAAACTGAATCCTGCAGAAAAAAAAGGGGAAGATTTACAAAACCTGCTGAGTTATCAGCTAGTGAAGAGGGACTTGACAGATGTAGTACTCCGGATTCAGAGACTGTGTAACAATACTCCTGAGGTTCCTGTTACACAATGAAGGTAAATTTCAAGAGAAGATTCTTAGCAAGTGTTTACATTTTCAAGTCACACATGTGCCAAAGGCACTTTGTCCTGTGACAGCTGTGACCTGGGCCACTCTCTGACTGTGCTTCTCTCAGGTTGTTTCACAAGTCAATATGCTTGTCCTACCCAATGTGTGAGGGCATTTCTTCACCTCTGTAGCCAGGGAGTACACAACAGCTCTTACAGCTCTTCAGGCTCATGCAAAGCCCAGACACCTTCAGACTTTTTGTGGCTGATAATTAGCCTTTCCCCTATCAATACCAACTTCTGTTTTTCTGTATTTTCTTGATTCCTAAAGAAGGGCTGATACTAATCCCAAGTACTGTGTTGCTCCATCTTTTGTCCCTGAAGGACCCTCCCCCAGCTCTGCAGGTGGGCTGTTCTCCAGGGTCTCTTGTCCCCACAGCCTGCACCTCCATGGGCTACGTGTTCCAAAGGCTTCCAGTGTTATCCATACCCCAGTCCCACTGCAGAGATGCCAGCTGGCAAAGTAGATGTAAACCAGCCCACTCCTTATATTCTGTTATGTAATGGCCAGTTACTTACCCTGGATGCCAAGATGCCATCTTTAAAAAGGTAAAGGTGTTCATTGTTTGACTGCATAATTGAACATCTGTGAATAATGTAAAAAACCTGTGATGACTCTTAGACCAAGAAAGTGTTTGGGTAAAGGCTTGCTCAACTGCAGTGAGCAAGAGTCCCGCCTGGAGTAACCAGAAATTTTTCCTTCCATAAGTGCTTATTTTGTTGTGTTACAGAGAACACAGATAAGAGCCTCTCTGCTCTCCTGGAAAAGCAACTTGTGAGATGTAAAGTAGGGCAAATGTCATTGGCAATATTATTTTTAATCTTTAAAACCAAACAACTATAGCATTTGCCAAGGATCATATGTTTGTTTATTTAAATACTTCATCAGCTATGACTTGCTTTAGATATTTGACAATAGATATTTGACAATAACTTCCGTCTATAGTTGTAAGGAGTGAAAAATTAGCAAGCACATTAACTTTTCTGAGATTCCAATGCCTGTTGAGAATTTCAGTAACATTATTCACATTTATAACCTTGCATCTGACTACTACATTCCATCTGTCCAGAGAGAAGGAAAATGAAGGCTTGTGCGTCACACCCAGAAAGTTAACGGATTCATGTAAAAAAAGATTTTGGCAAAAGACAGACAAAGAAAGAATTTCTCAGCTCAGAATTCTCTGTGGGCATGCTCTTAGTCCATAGCCTGTGTTACACTACCTGTAGTGCCTGCCACCTGTTACCACCTGAGATGTCACCTCAGGTGTCTCAAAACACTTAGGAACTTTGGTCCTGCAAGGAAAAACTTCAGAGGGTGGTTCCGTGCTGTCTTGGCGCAACGCATAGCTCAGCAGCAAGCATAACTTTGAACTCCTGGAGACAAAGATTGACACATTCCATTTGGTATTGTCTTGTACGGTTTGTGCTCTCTTTGTGCCCTGATACAGTCTGGGACCGGGCCCTGTTGTTAACCAGGGCTTTGTAAGAGATGAGGCTAAAGCACAATGTTTCCGTACAATTGTAGAGCAGGATCAAAATGGTGCTATAGTGTAAGAGAGGCGCGTGTCGTCTGTGTGAAGAGCACACGGGGATGTTCTGAACTGGCCAAACTAAACTACACCCTAGGTCTTCTTTCCTCTTTGTGCTTTATGATTGTGATACTTAAGTGATTTTAGTGCTCGAAAGCTGTGGCTTCCAAAAAGCAAAACCTGTATCTCTAGTATCTTCGTTTTTACCTTAATTTAGTGCATTTTTATTGTTCATACTTTTGTTAGATTTATCAATTTATGTTTTAGGATTGTGACTAGACCTAATACTTTATATTAAAATTTCACAATTAATCTAAGGTTTAGAACTTACCTACCAATAAGTGTTTGTTCATACAGTGCTTTATAGTTTCAAAATGTTACATAAAAACTCACTATCATAAACCAGATTTTTTTTAAAAACTCCTTTAAAACAGAGTGGTTTATAAAACAAGCACAAATTAACAGACATCAAACTGATGCCTAGTGCAGTGGCTAGTGCTTTAGTATCTCTGCAGACACGGGGAGAACTTCAAAGGATAAAAATTGCTCCAGACAGAAAATGTCAAGGTGCAACTCTCAATGTCAAGGCAACTCTATTTACTCTTCGCTGCTGTAGGTTCCATGTCTATGTCCCGGTCTGAGAGAGCACAGTAGAAGATCATCTGAACATATTTTGTTGTTGTAGCTGTAATGCATAGCAAAAATGTGTGAGACAAAGTTATTATATATCTTAGGCAGCTATATGGATTTTGAGGATTTGAAAGCGCTACACAGATATTAGGAAAATCTAAAAACACCTTAATCAATTGGATTAAGCATGTGTTATAAATAGCTAAAGCAAAAGGAGCTCAATAATTAAAGTCTCATTTAATCAAAATTTCATCACATTTTCATTCAATTGTCAGACTGATAGGTGAGTTCAAACTGAATAAAAATATTAAAGTTTTGCTTTTCAAGATTGCCTGCATTTGAGGAGTGGAAACTACCCCTCAGGCCAATAAATCATTGTTTCACGATTTACAAAAGTGCATGGACCATATCACAGAATCACAGAATGGCAAGGGTTGGAAGGGACCTCGGGAGATCGTCCAGTCCAATCCCCCTGCTAAAGCAGGTTCACCTAGAGCAGGCTGCACAGGACATCGCCCAGGCAGGCTTTGAATATCTCCAGAGAAGGAGACACCACAACCCCCCTGGGCAGCCTGTTCCAGTGCTCTGTCACTCTCAAAGAAGTTCTTCCTCATATTCAACTGAAACCTCCTATGCTTCATTTTGTGCCCATATAAATCCACATACTGGACTGTTTTGCACAGGGGTGCATGGTTTTGTTTTCAGGACCATGTGCCAAAAATGCCTGAGAGGGCAATACCAATGCCAATAAGGGAATTGAGTGTGTCGCTGTAGAGAGGAACTATGACCAGGAAAAGGGAACATAGACAATATACGATAGGGAAGAAGAGGTTAAGCTGCAGAGACAAAAAAAAAAATGCAACATTTATTAAAAGATGCAGTAAATATTCTCTTGTCAGGCTTTGCAGATGAAAATTAGACAAGTCAATAAGAAAAGTAGAAATATTGACCATATGACTACTATGTACTGACTCTTTTGACTGCCTACAGTCAGTACAATTTGCTAGCTTCTGTATATGCTGCTGATAGCCTCTTATCTTGTACACACCTGAATATCTGACCATTTGGTTTTTTTCTGGCCTACACAGGCTCAGTTCATTTCCACATTAGTAAGAGATCAGTCTTTGAAAGCAGTACTTTAAAACTGAGCAGCCATGGCTAGTTTTCTCTCTACCTCCAACTGCACATTTTAAGTTAAGGAATGAGCATTCTCAGGAGTCCAGGAGCTGGCAGCTGAATACTAGTTGAAACTCTTGAGAGTTTACTGGCATAAATATTTCTTTTTCATTGCAGAGTTTAAAAACATAAGTTGATGAAAACCAACTGCTATGTTTCAGAAAAGGAAAAAGTGTATGCGGAGTTGTGACCTTGACTAAGCTGGCAAACGTTGGTAGGAATTAAACAGTCATCATCTATAATCTGGCTGTAATCCTTGCTTTAGCAGAGTCAATAGCAAAACTGCCACTAAGGCAAGATTTTATCTTCCACATATTCCGGGGGAGAGTTTGGAAATGAACGTGCTTCAGGGAAATTTGGTCTGCTCTGGAAGACTGGAAGGTTTTCTAGCAGTAGGTGCTTAAGATATTTTGCTCATTTCCTCGAACCATGTTTTTTATAATAAGGATGTTGCACTTAAACAGGAAAAGAAAATGTTAAAAATGGTTAGGAAGAGTGAGTGACAAGGAAGAAATATTTTGAGAGGGTATTGGTTTGGATTTTTCATAATTTTTACTGCATCACTGCAGAACCGAAATGCAGGTTATGGAGCCAAGAGAGCACAGGGAAATGAGAGCCAGCGCATGGTTTTGTGTGCCTGGGGGAAGCTGTGGGCTTCTGTCCTTGCTTCCTGGACAATCGCTGAATTAAAACTAGAAACAAGTTTTAGGCACGCTTTGTTTCCATGCAGTCTCCCTCTCCTAATTGATAGCTAGATGCCTGTCTGCAATCAGTCATTTAACTGGCATTTTACTGTCTATGACCACTATGCAGTGGAAGGGAGCACTCAAAATATATTTGATTATTTAAGCTTTTGATCTTTTGCATGAGCAGAATTTGGGGCATTTATGGGTTTTGCAGGGATTTTGCTGAATTTGTTAAGTCGTGTAAGTTTGATGAGAGTGTTAACGTATCTGGAGTCCCCATCTCTAGCTCTACTGAGGTCTGCTGCGAACAGTACAAAAGTTTTTTTTTTTTTCCAGGACAGGCTAAGAAGCCCAGGCATTTATCTATTCCTTATTTATTTTGAAATAAAAGTAGGTATAAGGTTGAATGAGAGGAAAAAGCAACAGTAAATACCATTTCAACCTCACTGCAAAAGTACCAGCACAGATGTTCTCGTGGAAACTCAAATGGGTTTTGCTCCTGCACTTCTTAACTTGTACATTGAAAGGATTCCTATGGCTGATAAAGGGTCTATAACTGAACTGGTAATGTCATGTCTGCGGTCTTAAGGATCACGTAAGCCCATGCATTAGCTGGCCTTTAGGGCTTGTTTCCTCTCTTAGTTACTTACTTTAATGGGCCGTGGTCTGTGCGGCTGAGTATACCTCAAATATATCAGTCCTGCAATAGACAGACCCACAAAGAGCCAGTAGTTGAAGCAGTAGTAATTAATGAGGAGGAAAACATCTTCCACAAGCAGATAAAGCAAAGTCATTAAGCCCTAGAGATAATAAAAATAAAGAGTTTTTAATGTGAAAATAAAGACAAGGCTTATACAATAAAGAGGGAGCAAAGTTATAAACGGCTCATTGCCATTATATTTGCCTGCAGTGAGGAGATCAGGTCCCTGCAAGAAGGATGGACTTAAAACTCTGAGAAACCTGGAGGTACGCTGTGTGAAGCGTGCTGGTTTCTCTTCCTTAAACACAGAAAATCAGCCTACGTCAGGGTCTGAGAGATGCTCCTGCTGGGGGAAACTGTAGGCACTTGATGAAGATGTCTCCAGTGCAGGAGAAGCCCGGGAAACACACCGGGCAGCGGAGAGGTGTCATACTCCCCGGGTCTGAACCTCCAGCTGCCCAGGGCAGGCACGGGGACGGGCTGTCACTTACATTGAAGAGGAGAGCAGGGACTGGTGTGAAGCACTTTATATGAATCAAGCTCAGACTGTCAGGGAGGTGTCCTTCTCTGGCTCCAACGTAAAAAAGCCTGAAAAAAAGAATAAGAAAAGCCAACCAGACAGTGAGCCAAGCAATAGCTTGTTGCTTTCTGGCAAAGGCAGCTTGAATTCTTTCCTTTCTCTATTGTAAATGCTGCCCTCTTCTCAAGTGGCTTGAGTTTATCAATCGGTGCTGGTCATGAGAAGACGCATCAGATCGTAATGATCCTTCCATCATGAATGAACAACTTGCCATGACTAAAATTAACTGTGTCACTTTCACAATGCAGTAGTAATGAATGCAGTTTGATCCTTTTCACCGATTTAAATAAATCTTGTATTTCATACCTAGATGCTGCAATTATTGAGGAGTTTAAGCCACTGTAGCAAGACATGGCCACTGCTATAGGAATTATCCACTTAGCATAACTAAGGGTTTCACTGCCAAATGTCTGTAACAGAAAAAGAAAAGAATGGTGAGGCTCATGGCGTTAAGCATATGGACAATCCTGAGAAACTCTCGTGAAAACACACCAGCTCAAATGCTTTCGTATGACACTTGATACTGGCTTGGGAAATTAGAATCTCGAAAAACTGATCAGTATCAAAATGAAAATGGCAGCTACTTTAAAAAAAGGTTTTAAAAAATAATTCTCAGCCCAGGTCAAGTCAATGAAATAACAGAAGAAGATACTTTGGCTTTGATGTATTCTGGCAAAATGCTTTCCCTGGCAAAAGCACCTTCTACAAGTAGTTAGAAGTAGGATTGATAGAATACATGAGAGGACTTTACTAGAGCAGATTTATTGGATATGTTCTTTATATGCACCTTCTAGTATAGTGGCCCTCTTACATGAAGTCAAAGTTCCAAACAAAGCAAAAACCTTCAGCGTGGAAATATTTCGGCTGTTTTGCTAACAAGTATGCTACCTGAGATTCTCCCGCAGTGTCATCCATGCAGTAACTTTTGTTTTAATTCTTCTGTGCAACTTACCACAGCCACTGCATCACTTGTGAGGAGAGCTGGCATGTCCAACACTACGTAGTACGCTATGTTAGTCAGCAAGTAAATAATAGTCACAATAGGCATTGAAATTGCGATAGAAAGAGGTAGGTTCCTGCAAAAGGAAAATGGCAACCTTATTTCATGTTCGTTGAATAAGGAATGTTTCAACAGAAGATTGTTCCCACACTCAAGCCTTTGTGAATGGATACCTCCATAAATTTTTGTTAAGAAATAGGGAATTTCAGAGAGGTAGATGGACCCACACTTTTCCCTGCTTTCAACAGGGATTTGTTCTCCTCCTTTAAAAATTCTGGCCTAAACTGAGTTGCTTAAAATATATATAAGCAGACAAGTGATTTATTAGTGTGTTACAGTTGGTGAGAGAGGACAATAATCAGGAAGAGTTTCCATACTTACTACCTCCTTGGAATAGAAGAAAGGTTTTGCTGAGAAAATAGTTTGTTTAATTCCCAATCAGAAACAGATACAGAGTGTCTTGTTTTGCCATCACCTGTCTCACCAGGACACTTGAGCGATTCAAAGGAAAAGCTCCCGTTTACCTCTTGGGGTTCTGCATTTCCTCGGTGACGTAGTTGAGCGTATCCCATCCCGAGTAGGAGAAGAGGGCAGAGTAGAGAGCCAGCGCGATCATCCCCGGGTCTGTTGCTGAGCCCTCGAATGGAGCTCTCAGGTTTTCTGTTTCTCCTGTACAAATGGCAGGTACCAATTGCCTGTTACGTTTCAAGGATTATGACGTAGAAGGACATTACACTAAAAGTCCAGCTAACCAAAAGGAAATAAACCCCCACTGCATCCAGCTTTCATTACTATTGCAAAAAGTGCACAGCTTATAGTTTCACTTGACAAATAGGAAAACTTCAGTCAGGTGTTCAGACAGCTACACTTGTACAGGGAGACAGCAGAAGACATTTTCCTGTGTTTGTGGACGTGACTTGTGTAATTCTAGCAGAATTCATGGCGTCCTCGTGTCCTGGCCTCGCCTTCAAGCCTACTGAAGGAGGAGCTGTAGTGAGGCCATGCTATGCCCTGTCAGCCAGGCAGAGGCAGCTGGGAAACCCAATTTCAATTCCTGAATCTGTCTCCTATTTCTTCCTCATATCGGTGCTTTTGTACATCTATTGTCATATGGAAAGATCAGAAGTAGCACCAGAATTAACTCATCTCCAGCTTTTCAGTATATTCAGTTCAGCCTAGTTACTGCTGACACAGGCTGGCTCATCAGTCCTGTGATGTCTTACGGTACCGCCGTGATTCATGGCACCACAGTATTACAGTCTTTTCCCTTGTTTCTAGCAGCAAGCACGCCCTCTCACCAGTGAAGGAAAGGACGAGTTCCTCCCTCCCCGCTCCTCTCCCCTCAGCAGGGCGGGCAGAGCAGGGGGTGAGGATCCATGTGAAGGACGTATCCAGCAATTTCTGCTGGGCTGCCCTGTCACAGGACAAGCAGG